CGATATTCCGAAGAGTTTGACAGTAAGTTTGAATGGTGGACGTGCCTTTGATAGTATTGTAGAATTGGTGCTCCAATTGCATTGCTCTGGCTGCCTTGTTGTCATGAAACAAGTTATGTATGGCTTTCCATAAATCTGCCGCGGATGTAGTGGAAGAGATGATGAGATCAGAAACCTCATCGTTGACGGTTGAAAGAATCCATCCTTGAATGAGAGCGTCGAGTTGAAGCCATTCAACATCATCTTTTCCGGCAGAAGTTTTCTCACCGGTGATGAAACCTTCGAGATTGAAGCGTCTGACCAGAAGAAGGAAGAGACGGCTCCACTTCTTGTAATTTGGTTCCGAAAAACTGAGAGTGATGGGAACCTGTAGTTTGACGTTGGACACCGTCGTGAAGGTGAGATGAGGAGTAGGTGCAGCAGAAGTTGAAGAAGAGGGGGATTTTTCTGAAGACATGATGAGAGAAAGAGGGAGGAGATGACCGGTGATTCTTTCGCCGGTGGAAAAGAAAGGGGAAAAGTCCGGCGAGCAGAAGAGGGGTGCGCCGAGAGGAAGAGGAAGAGGGGAGGTGGTTCGGGATTAGCCTAGAGTTGGCTCCGATACCATGAAGAATTATATAATTCCAATGATCCCTTTACAATATATTCACCTCCCCTTATATACATGTAGGAGGGTTAAGAATAAGGAAGCTGACATTAATGAGAGATCCTATACAATATGGAATCTACCATAAATAATAATAATATTAAATATGTAATATAACTTGACATATTTAACACATGGGGGTAGATGTCTGAAGGATAACTAGTGGGAAGAGGAGAATAATCGGCCACTTCCAGCCGGTCCACCCACTGCTCGTATGACTCGTTCTCAAGATCATAAGGAGCCGGCTCGTCTTCAGCTGGTACGTCCCTCTCCTGAAATACCTGACCGGGCATCTGATTTACAGGCCGCGGTTCGGGGACATTAGGGTTGGGAACCGACCGGGTTCTAGGAACGGGTGAAGATGACCCGGTCGACGAAGAAGAGGACAGGGATTCCTCATATGCGTGGGCATCTGAAGCGGAGATGTCTTGGCTGTCGGAGGAAGACATCGACCGGGAAGGAAAACGGGGAATAAAAGGAAAGCTAAGGAAGAGAGAATAGAGCTTACTTGGCTCGGAGGGCTGAAAGGCAGGAGGGAAGAACTTGCCCGGTGTAACTCAGAAGGATCGCGCGAGAGAAAGTGAAGGAATGAAGGGGCTGAAGGCCTTTATATAGGAGGAGGGAGGCCAAAGGGTAGCGACGTGGCCTATGCAGAGCGTGCCGCGTCAGGCGGCGCAATGATGACCCGCCGGCAGGCGAAGCGACGGGTGTGCAACCAACCGTTGCAACGATCAGTTCGCGACGCGTGGCAGAGTTCGAAATTCAGAATTTAAATTTTGGAAATTTCGAGCGGGAAAAGACGAAAATTCGAATTTGGAACCCATTTTTCAGACTTTTTACTTCCCGCTTATGACAAAATTGCATAACCGAGAAGTGGAGGGCTTATTGATGGGTGTATTTCACCCATGACCGGTCAAGGATCGGAATCAGAAAATTGACCGGTCAAAGAAGTCGAACTCGAAAGGGAGATCCGAATCGTCAGCAAAGGGATGGCTAGTTGACCGAAAAGTTGACCGGTACACTTAGGGTTAGTATACCGGTCAAACTACTCCATCGCCTAAGTTCATCCTCCGAAGTTAGCCAAACCAACCCTCAAGGATCACCCGGTCTAGTTTCCGAATATCGGAGAGCGTCGGCAAGAGGAATCCAAAAGGACTTGGACTGTAGTGGTTGGAATTGCACAGATGCTGGAGGAATATTTCCAAACCAGAACGCGACAAAGGCGCAGCCCCCCACGCAAGATGACAAGGCAGTGCAGAACCAGTCACCTCGCAGCACATCAACAGCGTGCCCCCGCGTGAGCGCACGTGGCCTTGTCCCCCTTTAGCCTAGTATAAATACTCATGTAAACCTCAGAAAGAGTGATCCGAATTCACTCTCTCTAAACTCCCTTGTAAAAGTGACCGTGCATTCTCTGTTATAATATAATTCGGGCTACAGGTGTTCCACCTAAAGTCCTACCGGTCACACTGAATGTTCTTACTTTCTTTATTTTACTAAATCAAGCCAACTATTCTAGACCCGGTCTAGTATAGTTTGACCGGTCAAGTAATTTACACCATCAGGATTGATTACACGTAATTATTATGTTCTGTCTTATACTTCCTCTGTCCCAAATTAAGATTAATTTTTTCTTTTTTTTGTTACTGATTTGATAAAATAATACGTAATATCACCTTTAATTTCATAAAACTTTTGATGTATTTTTTTAATATTTAAACCTACATTTTAAAATTATGCTTCAATTCTATAATAAATACTCCGTAGTACTTAAAATAATTACAGTCAAACATCGTAAAACCGAAACCGATGATTAACTAAAGTCTGAATTTTAGTTTTAAGACCCCAAACATGAGAAATGGAACTATAGTTTTAGGACTTGAAAACTAAAATGTATACTCGTACAAACATGAAAGGATACACTAAAGACGAAATTAGTATTAAAGATTGAGAACTAATTTTGGACAAACAAACAAACAAAAACAATTAAATGACCCAAATATTTCATGTTCAAATTTCAGTAAAACTAAAGCTTAAACCCTAATTACACGAAATTGGGCAATTTGTCGTGCAATTATCTAGAAAAAAAATCTAAACTCTAAAAATAAACCGAATCCGTGCAATTGACCAAACATTAACAAAAAAAACAGCTCCTTTTTAAATCACACAGATGAGGAATCATTTTCAATTAGCATTAAAAGGCTTTAACTAATTCTTTAAAACATAAATATTAGAGAAATATCTACCTAAGAACAAGCTTCAATGTTTGGCGTAATCCAATGTTTTTATTTATACCAAGAATAAAATTTACAATACCAAAAAACACCTTGAAACAACACTACACAATGTCAAATTGCATACATTTCACATTGCCAATATTTAGAAAATAAAAATTAGAAAATCTTATTTGGGAAAAAATTTCGAATTTAGAATTTCGTAATATTTAAGTAGATATTCTAGAATTTATCTTTCTAAGAGATATTGCCCCCAAAAAGAAGGCTTGAAACAATTTTTTTTTTCACAATCTCATAAACCTTCAAGTTCTTGAAAATGATGAACTTCCAAAACCAGGGGCATATTTTTACATTATGGCTGGGTTATAGTCAATATTACAAAACCCATTTTTTTTAATTTAAAAAAGAAAAAAAAAAGACTAATGAGAAGTGATCAAACCAAACAAACCTTAATTTCTTTCCTTGAAAAAAAATAATTTTTTCAAGTCCAAATGGAAGTCCAGATTCTCTCCCCAACAAAGCTAACGAATCTTCTCACTGCCCCACCTTCGTCTTCTTCTTCCTCCTCATACCGGGTTGAGTCCAACTCGGCCGAGTTCGACTCGCCAGACTCGCCCGTTTCCAAACTCAACTCGGAACTATTCATCGACTCGCCGGAGAATCCCGGAGGGGGAGAACCGGACGGCCCTTTCGCCTGCTTCCTCCCGGCCTTGCCCTTCCTCTTCTCCCTCCTCTGGTTTCTGCTCCACGAGGCCAATCGCTCTTCGTATGCGTCGATGATTTCGTGTATGAGCTGGCGGTTCGGCGACGAGTCCCACCTGCCCCAGTAGCTCATGTAGCAGCTGAAGCAGTAGCAGTCGAATCGGGGCGGATGCGCGTCGGAGCCTCCCTTTCCGCCGCAGTACGCGGCGGATTTCCTCTCGGCGTTGAAGCTCCCGGCGGAGCAGGACACGAGATAGGCCAGCACTTCCTTGTCTCCCTGTCCGAGAGCGACGGTGAGAGCCAGAATCGCCGCCGGCAAAAAGGCGAGCTGGTCTAGAACCAGCGGCGGCGTGGGATGAACTGCGCTCTTTCGGTAAAGCTTTTTCATTGTCGGATCGTCCGATTGCAGCGGCGGCGGCGGCGGAGTGAACAGTGTGAGGGTTTGGGAATACGGAGTATAGTAAAAGAGGGAAAATAAAAAAAGCTGAGAGTTGGTGATATTATATGTGGGGTTGGGTTCAGTGATAAAAAAAAAAAGAAAAGGGAGGAGAGGGGTTTTATTCCTCTGCAGCGCAGGTGCACGCTGCGGACGCATGGATGGTCATCTTTACATCAACGGCAGGGAGCTAATCAGCGGTCTTATATGGGTCCCACAAGCCCTTTACAGGCTGAGATTCTGAACTGTTTTAGAGAACCACGTTCCCTGTCCCCTCCCTTTTCCTCAAAATCAAAAAAAAAAAAATTTGAGGAAATTTTAATCAAAATTATAAAATAAAAAACGATCGAGATCGATTATCACTATAGGGATGAGATTTATCTCTTTTTTTTCAAACTCATAAAAGTTTTTTGGACCATGCTACACTTACACCAACAAATATACCTCATTTGTACACCACAGGTTTGCACAAACATTTCAATGGTTTACACCAACACAAGTGTTGGTGCGTTAATAAAAATTCACACGGACACAAATGTCGGTGCATTTAACAAAAATTAGTTTTACACCAACACAAAATGTTGGTGCAAAACTGCGGGGTACAAATTGGGGTACAAATCTTGGGGTACACATAGCATAATCCAAGTTTTTTTTCAAAGCTGTGAAAATGAAATATTCTAAAGCAGAAAGAAAAGGTTTAGGCTGAGAAAATAAATATTCCCCAATCTCAAAAGCATTTTTACATTTCACTTCAGAATTTCACATAAACCCATTATCCATATGTTCATTATGAACTGAATATTCAGTTCACTGTATATTGAGAAAAGAATATAGAATACATGTGAAAGAATGAAATGAAAAATCAGTCCATGTGAAGTGTATGATATATGAAACCAAAGAGCAGACAGCATACGGGCAGAAGGGAAAGGTTGAGGAAATGGCGGAACTAGCCTTAGATGGAAGAAAGGAGACGACTCAAACGCCGTCGGGTAAAAGGGTATTTTTGTCAAATCCATAGCATGCCTTCTTTGAAACTCTCATTGTGCTTAACTTTATAGAAGACTTCCTGAATCATGACAGATTTCATTGAACCAAAGGGTCAATAGATTAATAGATTTTACAACGTAAAAAAAATGGTGAAGAAGCGGTCGGGGTATTGCAAGACCTTTAAGAAGAGGTTTGGAGACGAGCCTTGATCCAGGATTCCAAATAGTGTAACTCCACCTGGGTTATTGAATGGCCAAGGCCAGGATAAGCCTGTAATTTTTGCCAATAAGAGTGAATCATCTAAACATGGCAGAAGGTGTGGATGGGGTGGGGGAAGGGGTGAATCTTTTGAC